CAGGAGGAATTTGTTTTGAAATAGGGGGCGTCGGGTTCCTGCTGGGTTCCCTTTGGTGGCTTGAGGGTGGGAGCAGAGGAGGTCGGGAAAGAACTTAGACCACATTCTTAAGTCCCACCTTGCTTTGGGGTTCATTGACTGACCCATCGGCTCTAGTTCCTGAAAGACCTGAGTCAGTGGGCTTTATCTCCTGAGATGCAGGGCCTCGGGCCTCGGTGGGAGCAAAGGTCTGGAGTGGTGCCCATGAAGGGCCCCCTGCACATGCGGGGGAAGAAGTGGGCCCTGTAGAGGGCATGCACTCTCACCTCTCATGCAGGCCCAAGGCAGGCCCTCTGGCTGCCCTCAAGCAGGGCCGGGCAGTGAGTGAAGGAGGGCTGGAGGACAAGCCAGGCAGGTCACGGTCCAGCAGGAGGAGTGGGGAGGCCTGAGCAAGGGTCCGGAGAGCCTGCTCCCCCGCTGACGCCTCCTCCCTTCTCTCCTAGTCCACGACCTGCAGAGCTTCGGCCTCGACAACGTACGTGCCAGGTGGAAGCCACGGAGGGCGGATGGAGGTGGCGGCGGCGTTGCTGCCTTCATTCTCTGTAGAGACATCCTGGGATGGGAGAGCAGATACAGAAAACTAAACCACGTTCTGACAGGGGTGCAGTGTGAGGATCACTGGTGTGACTTTTGAACTGAGACCTGCATAGGCTGGAGATGGGGGATGGGCTTGGACAAGAGCGTCCGGGCAGGGGGAGCCTGGGGTGAGGTCAGGAGGGTTGGGGCACTTCTGAGGAAAAGCAGGGCTTTTTCCTGTGTGGTTGGTTGAGGATGAGCCTGGAGGTTGTGCCATTCAGGGGAGTCTGGTCTCTTTCCGGAGCAGTGGGAGGCAGTAGGCTTACTTCAAGCAGGGTCATGATGGAATCAGATTTGCAGTTTTTAAAAGATCCCTCTAGTGGCTGTTTGACTCAACAGGAGCAGAGCAGGCGAGGGAACTGGGAGAAATGGGGCCCCTCCAGCCTAGGCCACCAAGGACCTGTGCTGTGATTGTCTCATGTGTGGGTGCAGCCAGAACCTCAAACTCTGCAGCCTCATGAGCCCCAGACCCTGAGGAAGGAGTTCCTAGGTGGGGGGTGCCTGTCTCAGGCAGGTTCTTAGGGCAAAACCCATCTCCGCACACCCACTCCCCAGACCCAGGTGCCCCTGTGTGAAAAGCTTTTGAGAGGGTAGGGCCTGTTGGAGCCTCGAGTGCTTGGAGGCCCAGGCGCTGGTATTGCTTGCAGATCAACATGACCCACTACATCCGGCACCTGTCATTTGGGGAGGACTACCCGGGCATCGTGAACCCCCTGGACCATACCAACGTCACGGCACCCCAAGGTACCAGCGCGGGAGGTGGCCCCCAGCAGCCCACACCCTGCTGGCAGCCATGCCCAGCACCCTTTTCTCCCCGCAGCCTCCATGATGTTTCAGTATTTTGTGAAGGTTGTGCCCACGGTGTACATGAAGGTGGACGGAGAGGTGAGTCCAAGGGGGCCCAGACTTCAGGGCACCCCCTGGAGCCAAGCCCGAGAATTCCTTCACCCTGGGAAGTGAAGTCCTGCTCTTACGCCATATGATGGGTGGCAGGCTGAGGTTCAGAGGGGGCTGGGTGATTTGCCCCATAGCTAGAGCTCAGGCCCCAGGCTGTCAGAGTTCAGAGCACTTTTTCTCCTTGCCACCCACTGCCTCTCTGTCCCCCACGGTCTGCCCTGGGCCAGAGGCTAGCCAGGCTGACCCTTCCATGCCCCTGCCTGCTATCTCTCCTGAGGCCTGTGGAGGGGCATCTCCACAGATGGGTAGAATGCGTGAGGACTGAGTGGAGAGGATGCCAGGCCCAGCATTGCCTGGGGTTCATGGTGCAGCCCTGAGGAGCTGCTCCTCTCCCCCACTGAGAGGGTCCACCATACGGGGCTGGGAGTGGTAACCCGTAAAGAGCTGGTGACTGGAGGGGAAGCGGGGATGGTCAGGCTGCGAGAGGGTGTGGAGGTGGTCCCCGGGCCCTGCAGTGTTCGATTCCAGCACTGGGCCTCACTTTCTCCTCCCAACAGTCAGGGGCACCACCAGGGGCAGGAGCAGGGGCTGGGGCTGCGGGGCTGGGAGCCGGGTCACAGACCTCGCCCCGGCCCAGTCTCTCCTCCTGTGCTAGGTGCTGAGGACGAATCAGTTCTCTGTGACCAGACATGAGAAGGTCGCCAACGGGCTGATGGGCGATCAGGGGCTTCCCGGGGTCTTCGTACTCTACGAGCTCTCGCCCATGATGGTGAAGCTGACAGAGAAGCACAGGTGAGGGCCGGGGAACGGAGGGGCCTGGGCCTGCAGGGAGCAGGGTGCCTGCTGACCTCCCCTGCCTTTCGCCAGGTCCTTCACACACTTCCTGACAGGCGTGTGCGCCATCATCGGGGGCATGTTCACAGGTCAGAAGCTATGGGGTGTCTGTCTGGGGTTGAGGGTGAGGTGGGGAGTGGAAAGCTTGACACCCCCTCCCCCCAATTGGGTTTTGGTTGAGGGAGGAGGGGCACTTCAAGGGCCAGAAGGAGATGCTGACCTGGCCAGTCAGGTGACAAGGCCTGGAGGTCAAACCAAGGGCCCACCTGGGCCAGTGCCAGCCTTGGTCTCTCTCCCCAGTGGCCGGACTCATCGACTCTCTCATCTACCACTCAGCTCGAGCCATCCAGAAGAAAATTGATCTAGGGAAGACAACGTAGTTGTCTGTCTCCCCACCCCTTCCCTCTTTCTCCTGTTTCTGTTTGACTTTGTGGTCATTTTCCCAACCTCTTCTTACCCTACTCCCCCCCATCCCCACCCCCATTCAAAGAGGCGGCTGCAGCTCCAGGTTGTTGGTAAATCTATTGATTGTGATATACTCGCTGGTCCCCGTGTGGTTCTTGGGTCTTGCTGAAGTGTGGGAACAGCCCCTCATTGCACCCTTACTGAAGGCAGTCAGGACTGGCAAATCAGAGCAGGCGGCTCTGGGGGCCCCAAGCGGACATCCCTGGTTTAATAGGACTTTATTCAAACCAGACAGATGTCCACCCCACAGCCCTGTCATCAGTCCTCCCACTGTGGTCTTCGGGCCTTTTGGGTTCAGCCCCAGGGCTAAGATGGAACTTTCCAGGATGAGCTTCCTGGAGTCACCACAGCTCCCAGGCTTGTGAGTTTCCGACTCTACTGGTTATGGGCCCTGTGCGCAGGCTGGGGCTTGTCCCCCCTAGTGGTGGCTAAAGCTGGGGCCCCTCCCTGCCACCCTGGGCTCAGTCACCTGATCCTCTCCTGCTTACTGACCCTGCTCCGTGCCAAGCCCCTCCTGGCGCCTGGTGTCCAAGGGGTTCCATCCAGGTCCTTCGCAATTTTGTGGGTGGACACAGAACTGAAAAACGGGGAGGGAAGGTAGTGGTGCTAGCAGGGTTAGCATTAGACCGCGGCTCTGGACCTTGTCAGGGCTTTTCATTAGAGCTTTTCAGACGTGTGGGGAGCTAGTCATAAGACCTCACTACTGCACAGCCCGGGGAACCAGCTAATTTTAAAAGCTGGTCAGTTCAGCTGATCATTTCTCAGGGAGTTTCAGTGTAAGACAGTAGTGGGGGGAGATGCAAAGTAGAGAAATGACCACAAAACTTCTGGAGGTAGATGGACATGAGACCCAGCTCTGACTTGGCCACTTGTGAGCTATGACTTTGGATGTGTTATTGGTGGGCACTCATCTGTAAATTGCAGATGATGTCGACTTCAGTGAATCTTGTTTTTTTTAGTCGCCCAGGAACCATTCCTCCTATTAACAGTATCCTGGGTTTCCTCTGGGAACCTCCCTGCCCACTCTGTCAGCTTGTGTGATTTTTGAGGAGGGTCGATCTCCCACCCTAAGCTCCAGGGGAGGGCCCAGTCAGCATGCCCTATCTCTGCTGGCCCCAGCGACCCAGAGTGAGCCAGGCTCCAGCAGTACTAGGAAATTTTTCCTCCTGGATGTGAGGATGGGGAGAGTTGGGGTTGCCGCAGCCATCCTATACTTCCAGGGACAGACCGTCTTTGTAAATGATTCCCCTGAGAACAGCAGGGCCAGGCTCAGAGGCAGAGAACCAGTCTCAGTGATGTTGTCTGAACCCTATGACAAACAGCGCCTGAAACCCACCATATCCTGGGAATTACCACTGGGGAAGCCAGCACAGTCCCTTTTTGCTTCACCCAGCTTGGGTTGGGATTTCTGTCACTTGCAACCAAGTGTCCTAAATGACCTGCCTACTCTCAGGGTTACAAGTTCATGGAGCGCACAGAGGGTTTAGCTGTCGTGGAACAGCAGCAGCCACCAGCAGATGAGGTGAGCGCACCCAGCCATTAGCAGGGGCAGGAGGGCTGCTCACAGGGCCTGACACCTCAGTGGCCAGGCCTCCTCAGCAGGGATCCTCCCCTGGGTCCTATTCCTCCTGGTGGCAGGGCCACGTGGGCAGCTCCCTCATCCTGTGTATTAGTCCAGTGGACCCCAGCTCCCAAGGTCACCCAGGAACACCTCTATTCTCTGCCCCAAGCATTATTTGGATTATTTATTATCTGCTGTGGGTGTGCAGGTGACAAAGGTGGATTCCCCGGAAGGTTTGGGCAGAGGAAACGGGAACCCCAGGATGGTTTCCTGTTGGTAGGAAGGAGGCAGGACCTGGCATTATGGGATGAGTGTCCACGATGATTTAGGGGCGGTGGAGGGGGCAGAAGATGACCTGGCTGATCTGCCCTGGCATGGTGTAAAAAGACGAGGAGGAGGAAGACGGTGATCAGAGCCAGCAACAGCAGCACCACCAAGGGGCACCAGTACCAGCGCCAGAGGAAGAAGACAAAGGTCTTCAGTGGGTTCACAAACCAGTTGAAGGAGATTTGGGGGCGGCTGCGGGGGAGCAGGTGGTGTCGGATGAGGACGAAACCCTCTGCTGTCTCCACCACTACCACCGCCACCCCCCCCCGCCGGATGTGGCCCTGCCTCCTGCGCCCCCTACTCACTCGGGCTTCTCCAAAGGCTCAGGCTCCTTGCGCCCCTTCCCCACTGGCCGTTTCTCAACCTCCTCCACAGTCAGCAGCTCAAACTCTGCCTCCCTGGAAAAGAACGGACAGAAGCCAAGTTCTTGGGTGGGCTTAGACCCGACCCTCGACCCCCGACCCCCCCACCCCTCCCTCCCCCGTTCCTGCCCTGACCACCGCACCCACCGTGAGGATGTAGATGTTGCCTCCTGAGTCCGAGAACTCTTAAGTCTTCCCACTGGCCTTTCCTCTTCCTCTTCTTCCTGCCCGTCTGAGCCTTCCACTGCTTCCCGCTCCTTGTCCTCCAGCTCCTGCAGCTTCACTACCAGCCACCAGCCCTGCAAGCGGTGGCAGCAAAACAAGTTACACCTGGGTGCGGCCCCATCCCGGGCCAGCCGCACGGAGCAGAGCTCGGGGCCCCGGGCCCCTCGCACCATGTCTGATAGCTGCAGCTCCAGGGATCCTGCAAGTCCAGAGCGCTCTGGGTTAGGCAGGAGCAGGAGGTCTGTCTGAGCCAACCTCCCATCCCTGAGAGTGACTCCAAGGAAAGCAGAGCCCAGAGCTAGAAAGTGACTGATGGCTGACTGAATCCTGGGAGATGGAACTCGAGGCATCTAGAGTTAGAATGGCAGTCCAGTGGTTAAGACTCTGAACTCCCAATGCAGGGGCCCCAGGTTCAACCCCTAGTCAAGAATCCAGATCCCGCACACTGCAACAAAAGTCCCAGCTGCGGCAACTATGACACCTCCCGAAGACAAATTTTTTAAGAGAGCTAGGATGTGGTGGTTACGTCACAGCTATGGACGACACACGGCAGCCCAAATGTCAGCGGGTTGTCCTCTGGGACAAGGCACAGCAGGGACCAACAGCTGTGGGGCCAGAGTAACCTGAGCTCAGTTCAAAGTAGAGGACTGAGTCAGAGACTGGGTGGGGACAGAGGTTATGATGCTCAGGGCTGAATTAAATTCAATAAATTAGGCCAGAAAGCAAAAGTTAGTGTGACTTGGATCTGAAATCTAGGATTCAGGGTTGGGTTAGAGTAGGGAAACCAGGGGCCAAGGGCAGGGCAATGAGGGCAGAAATCGGGGCTAGGGTGGAGATGGGAGGACAGCTCAGCAGTACCAAGGAAGTCATTGGCAGAGATGCGGTCATAGTCCCAGACCTGCAGGACCAGCACAGCCGGCTGCCGGAATTTGGCTTCTTCCAGGGCAAAGGGTCCAGGGCTGCGCTGGATGCTCACCTCGCGCTCCATGGGCAGGTAGTCAAAGCAGAACACGAAGCGCCAGTTGAAGTTCCCCTCCCCGGTCAGAGAGTTGAAGTGAACGTCTGTCTCCTGTTTGTCATGCTCCAGCCCTTTCACCCAGCTGGGACCAGGGGAAAGGTAGAGGCCAAGAGGGTGGGCATCCACACTGGACTGAGTCCAGAATCGGCTCCTCACCTGGTCTGCCCCTCCGCTCACCCTCAGGCTGGTCCCTCCACCCAGCTCCCAGTGCCATCAAGGGCCCATGGGACAGGCAGGGCTCTGGCTCAGCCCAGGACCTAAGCCCCTGTTTGCAGTCTCACCTCGGTACATAGCCATGTGCCCATCTCGGCCTGCAGGCCTACCTTTTCACATAGATGTCACTCGACATCTCTCCAGTGAGTGGGTTCACATCATCCAGAACTACATCCTCCATGTTCCAGATGATGACTCGGAGCTCATAGCTGAGGGATGTATTGAGGGGAGGGTTTTCACACTCCTGAGAGGGGTCTTGGGAGGAGCTGCAGGAAGGACCTGGGCCAGGGCCACTGACACTCAGCAACTGGAGTATGCCTAGCCAGGTGATCAGATGTCCGTGGTCCCTTGAAGGGGCAGCCCCAGGTATCACTGACCACCCCAGCCACTGCGGATGGCACCAGGAATGGTCTGCTGACCCACGCTGGGTCAATGAGATTTTCCCTCCCATAAATCTGAAATCAAGACCCTGAAAACATGAGTCCCAAAGCATCAGACATAGATCTGGAGCCACCACAAGCTAAAGTGCTATGCAAGCGGAGAGAGTCAGTCTGCAGAGAAACACTAAGTGGGGATGAGAGCACAAAGCCCCTAAGGGACAGAAGGAGGGGCTGTGACATTCTTGATTCTACCCCAGGTAGCCCTGTCCTGGGCTGTCAAATGGTTTCTGGATATCTGTTGTTTTGTCCAGTGTTAATTTCCCCTCATTTGTTGACAGCACCTTGATTTTCTGTTGGTGACCCTACCCCCACTACTGTCAATTGTGTCATACTGGTGGGTCTGTCACCTCGGGGACATCACCCAGGACTGACCAATCAATGTATCACAGCCCCCTGATCATAGTGATTGGTTCAGGAATCAGCATTTGACCCAAGCGGGTCCAATGATAGTTAGCCCAAGACTTTTGCTCTAACTGGGTAAGAGGTGTTTATTTTTCTGCTCAAGTAGTCTGGTTGATAAGATGTAAGCTTGCACTGTTAAAAGTCACTTTGACCCCAGACTGCAAAAGCTTCCATGAGAGTGGCACCAAGGAAAGCAGAGCCCAGAGGTAGAAAGTGACAGATTGCTGACGACATCTGAAATGCACACACTCCCCGCTCAGATCAACTCAGGTCAGAAGGTAGTTAACTGGTACTTGGACTCTTCAGTTGCAAGTGACACCCAACTCACAGTGGCTTATGAAAAAAAAAGAATAATGTCTCGCCTACCTGAAGCCTGGGTCAGCTCTGCCAGCTTCACCAGGGTCGCTTGTCCAGGTTGGCCAAGATGTGCCCGCCCCATGGGAGGAGGGGCCAGGACCCCTCTTACCTGATTGGCTGCCGAGGCTTGATGTCAACTAGGGGTGGGGCAGGCACGTCTCTGGGGAAGATGTCAATCCACATGTGAAGAGACCCCTGGGGGCACAGGACCAGGCTGAAGGGTCTTCCGGGGGGTCCCACCTCCCCTAACAGCCCTGGGGCCAGAGGTTGTGCCTTGCCCCAGGTGGAAAGGAGAGCTGGGGTCAGGAGGGCAGATCCTGGGGGATGAGGATGAAGGCGGGGTCTGAACTGGGGATTCCAGGGTTGAGGTTAGGCTGGGTGTTCAAAGATGAGGCCCTGGAAGTGGAAGGCTGAGATCAAAGGTGAGATCCAGTGTTCCCAGGTCCAGATCCTAGAAATCTGGGGTAGAGGTCAGATTGGGAGGGCCAGGTCTGAGCCTTGGTAGCCCAGGGCTGGAACTCCTTCAGAACCAGAGTCTGGGGTGAGGGGAGGGGGTCCACGAAGGAAGTCCAAGACTGGAGTGGGGAGGGTGGGGACCAGGATCAAGAGCCAGAGTCAGAAGTGGCCGTGCCCAGGTCCAGGACCAGGTGGGAGTCCTGGAGCTCTGGGGATGTGCCCTGAGCCCTCCTTCACCTGCAGCAGCCCTGGGCTGCGGGGATGGTAGAGGGACCGTGTTTCTACGTGCTCAGGTACCAGCTGGATCCCAAGCCCTGGCATCTCCTGCCAGCACTGCAGCACCAGCAATGCCTGGGCCTCCTCAGAGATATCTCTTGCCGCCTTGGAGCCCCTGATACCTACAACAAGAGGTTCGTGAGCTTGGGTTCCACACAGTTCCCAACTCTGCTCCCTTCCTCCCAATCCCCCGCCCTCAATAGACACTCTGGGCTGAGGCAACTGCTATACTGGACAAACCCATTTCCTGGGAGGGCATGTCCACAATGCATAGAAAGTGGCGGATGCTGCTGTAACAACTTTTGCCAGTGAAAAGCCAGCAGTCAGGAGACAGTGGGATTGGAGGGGCTGTGGCCTTTGTGCAAACCTTGTTTAGAAAACAGACCACTGGCCATGTATGAAGCACAAGCTAAATTCTGCACCATACTGTATATTGCATGGGACCCCTATGTCCTCAATTAGCTATGGTTCTGAGGGGTTCACTAGGGCTCCTCGGAGATCTCACACTCACCAAGACCATTTTCTCTCCACTATTGTCTTTTCTCAGCCAAACTCACCTCCTCTGCTTGCAGAGGGAGGCGGGATCTTTGGGGACACATTAGGCTGATCATCAGTGGCCCCCCCCATACCTTGCTCTACCATCTTGCCCCCCCTGGATTGTCCAACAGAGAGAGGCTGGTACCTGGGGGCAGGGTCTCTGGTGGTGTCAGAAAGAGTTTGCTGCCCACCTTGACAGCCTCGACTTGATATTTAGGTGGGGGGAGGCCACAGCACTGGCATAGCCCCGCCAGGATCTGCAAAGGCCGGAATGCATCACACTAGGCATTTTACCCATCCCTGCGGGCAGAAACGGAAGGTCCCTCGGTTGGATCCAGCACATAAACATAGTTGGGCACAGGGGCAGGGATAGGGGCCCTTGAGGACTTAGGATCCAGGTTCATAACTCTACTGGAGAACAGGTATGCATGCCAGATGCTCCTATGAAAGAGATACGGATATTATTACCCCCATTTTGCAGATGAGGAAACTGAAGCTCAAGGAAGTCAAGTGACTTATTAGTTACAGATCCCAACTTCCAAGCCCATTTCTTGACCAATAAGCTGTAATGTTTTGGTTGCAGGGGAGTCCCTGCTATGAAATTAAAGGATCTGGACCTTCAGGTGGGATGTGAACTTGAAAGTCTTTGGTCAGACTTAGAATGACTCCCAAGAGCCCTGTGGGACTCACATGTCATATTGGGATGCCAGCCCACAGTTCGCCCTGTGGTGGCTATAGAATCGGTTTTCCAGATCAATGTGGATCTCTCCGATGAGGTCATCAGAACCCACAAGGTCATGATCAAACACAGCGGTCAGCTCAGGCTCAGCAGGGAGAGAAATGCTGAGTTCCAGGACCCTGGCCAGGAGAGAGCACAGCTGAGAACACCCCCACACCCTGGGGGTGGTCCTGCGGGGGAAGGGGTGGACTCAGCACCCCTGTCCATTCCCCCACCATCACCACTAGCTGCCTGAGTCAGAGTCACAGGGCCAGATGGCAAAGTTACTCCCCATCCCCAAGCTCAGGGCCCAGCCTCACTCTCCAAAGATGGGATTCAGCTGCTTGGGGATGTATCGTTCCTTGGTGTCCAGCCACTCCCAGCCAGTGCTCACCACCATATAGGGGTCTGCTTTGCCATTGGGGTCTGCAGGAGCCAGGTTGGTAGCCTAGGGAGACAGTATGGGGTAGAAATGAGAGAAACGTCAAACCCAAGGTTGCCCTTGCTGGGCCTACTCTCCGATTTAGTAAAAATAGGAAGTTACCATGGAAAATTCTTCCACTGCAAGACATTAGCTGAGAGGTTGGATGAGGTGACATACTTTCTTCTAATTATTGAAATACAGCAACTATTGTCATACAAATAGGTATAACGGAATATAACAAAGGCTTCCCTGGTGGTCCAGTGGTTAAGAATCCACCTGCCAATGCAGGGCACATGGATTCAATCCCTGGTCCATGAAGACTCCATGTGTCG